GTGAATCTTCAGTAATAGTATTATTTATCCTACTACGTTTTTCATAACGCCCACCTCTACTTTGAAATCGTGACCATATTGGTCACAGTAAGTCGTGAACATATTAGACTTTGGGCAAAAAACTAAAAGTCTTTTGTTGTCACAGTGATCGTCTCCCACAAGCTTGGCAAAATTGTGAATTTTTGATCATGCTTCTTCAGAAATACATTCCGTGGTTGCGGAATTATGTATTTGACTCGACCCGAGCTTGATCCGTACTGATACTCCGGCCAACTGTTAACCCGACCCAATCTTAAAATATCAGGGTCCCGCAGACTCTTAGTAAAAACGTGCACTAGGTAACGGGAATACCAGATTTTGCTTCCAGGAAAACTGGGAAAATGTTTTAATGTATTTCAAGGAGTTCTATGGCGACCCTTTGATATAGATCCCTGGCGTCGGGGTTGAGAACTATGGTCATCCTCTCCATATGACGTTAGTTGGGGCTTTTGCGTGAAACAAATCAACGTATTTGGGATGACCGTGAAATATTACCTCCCGTTAATATTGAAAAAAGCAAAAAGTTATTTTTACCAAAGAAAGTTAGGACCAAAAAGTAAAAACAATTGTTTTAACGTTTTCAAATTTCTTAAGCATAGAATCTATCTATACTTGTTTAATACGCAAGCAGGTTTTTTGTGACAATTATTCCTCCGAAACTACTGATCCGATTGACATGTTTTTGGTGTCGTTAGAAAGAGCGTAACTAACGTGAAGTTGTGCAGGAAACTTTCTTTCTAGGGAAATAATTTGAGAGTGAGGCCCTGGGGCCCTATAAAGTTTTGTATTTCTCCATAAGATTAACATGGGAAACAAAAATTATTATAAAACTTCAGCTGTTGTCAGAAATTAAAAGTGAGAAGAAGAACATATGTTTATTGTAAACAGACCATAAGTTTGCTAATTTAACAGTTTGCTACAAACATTTACTGACTTGGTAGAAATGAAATATTTACTATTTAAATTTGCGTTGGCGTAAATATTACAATGGAAAAAAGCTAGAGATCCTGATGGATAAATTGGTATACTAAAAGGAAAACTCAATTAACACTGTGCTGCATTTCTTAGTAATCATTGAAAGAGCCGATTTGCAAACTATGGTAACATAGGAAAGTCATGGAACACCACCAAGGAGAAGAAATATAAATCATGTTTTTTTTTTTTTTATTTATAATCGTTATTATGGACAACCTAATGCGGCTATGAGTAAGGCTATTTGTAGAAAACGCTAAAAAACAAGATCAGCTTTTGAAAAATAATAAGATTTTACAAGAAATGTTGATTATATCGATCTGTTAGGTACATCTTGGGTATTTCCATAATCTTTGAGTTGAACCTTTTAAAGTCATAAAAAATTGTTTTAAAGTAACGCCAGTAATACTTAGAAATTGCTCGAATTCGAGCAACAGGGACACTAGTGTCTTAAAAACCTCTAGTTTTGAGTGTCATCTTACGTATAGGCATAGGTACACATGTACAGTATATGGCTTCTGAAGGCTTCACAATTGAAAGTGATTATGTAAAGCACCTGCAACTAGAGGCTTACCATGATAACTGTAAAAATACAAGATTTTACTTCTATATATTACGAATAGTTGTATTTATATAAAAATGCTCATATTTTTTGCAGAGATTCATGGCGCAATCAACTGCCTCTACTGCCACCGTAGTTGATGATGGCGTTGACTAATCTAAACAACCTCTCCACGTAGTCAGATCATTCAATGTCTTTAGGCTCTTATTTCTCTTTAGTATTCTTCTTTTGAATGTTTTTGGCATTACAGGCTGAGTTAAAAACATCAGTGATAAGGTATTTATTTTCAACTAAACACATTATCAAATGATAATTTTGTTTGTAAATTGTGTAAGGATAGTATAGTATCAATAGTTGTCGTTTAATTCCTTTGATTTGAATTTTGACATCAATTTATCCTCAAAGTGAGTTTTGTTTCTTCAGTTGTATTATTCAATATTTATATCTGTTAATGGATAAATGTTAAACCTAAAGCTGTTAGACTTGAACCTTGTAAATGCTTAACAACTGTTCATTAACTAGAATTTAAGTAGGTATGATCACAATATTCTATGTAGGTATAACTTATACCAAATATTTAAACTGCTTGAGTTTACATTTAATGTATTGTTGCTGAAGTCATACATTCTTACTTACATTCTTGGGTCTTTATGTCTTGAAAATTCTGCTCTCAGGTCTTAGAATGTGTCTGCTTGTACAAATGTGAGTGTTGTTACAAAAAAATATTCTTGATGGTTAGTAAATTTGTCTATAAATTTATTTTTATAGCACCAAAATCAGGAAAAATACAATAATTGTAAAATGCATAGGGCTTTAATTTGAATATTTTCGAATAGTGACAGAGGAACATTTGATTTAAATATTGATTGTTTGCTTGAGCTTTTTTCTCTTGCGCAAGTTCCTTCTCTAGCTATAAGTTCCAAAGAGTCTTTGCATCTAAGTACATTCTTGCATTTGTTACTCGTTAAAGCTGTGCAGAAAAGGATTGTATTTCTAGGCCTTGATCGTTGAACTTGTTATTCCAACTGTAAGGTGTATGAAAGTGTATATTTTGAAAATAAAGCTTGCCTAGTTGGAATTCCGATATTTTGTGTCTGTAGCTCAATATAGAATGATTTATTTTGAACATGTCTTTAAATTAACCTTTTAAGTTTAAGTTACGGTAGCTGTTTTGCCCACACTTGGTTCGGTAAACTTTAAAATTGTAAAATAAATGCATTACTTGTGAAATATAGCTGTAAACCTTAGGGATCATCATTGGAGGATAGAAATAAATAACCAATTGAATGCCCAAGCACTTAGAAAATAGGCGAGATGCCGCCTTCAACAATTTGTTTTGTCCCAAACGAAGTCATCTGCAAAGTCCCGTTGTATTTCCTTGAAACAAAATTTCTCTCTCTGGATGTCCACCCAGGGTGATGCTATTTAAGCATTTAGACCGTGTTTTAAGGCGGCACAGGCACTTTTCCGTTGCCATTACTATTCCTCTTTACGTCATCTTTTCATTGGTATTTGAGACAAAGATTGGCCATAGACCATATCGCAACAAACTACTTAGTTTAATAGTGTATTTCAGGGTCATGTGTTAGGCTAGTTTCAGGTTTTATAGCCACTTTTTTATTGTTACTACATTGTAATCGTTTTTAAAATGATTGTCATCATATATTGGAACAGTGTCTTTATATTCCTCCTATCAGTAGCAGCTGATGTTCATATGTGGTGGGAAGGAACTGCTTATTTTTATAAATTAACAAAAGCCTACCATCATTCACGTTTGTCAATGGATAAACAAAATAAGGCTTAAATTTGTAATACAAACACACATACAATTTATATTTATTTAAACATGTTTCTAAGGCTGCTATTTGATTTAACCTAATAAAAATGTCTGTAAATGGGTCTGCCCTGGAAATAACACTAACTAAAAAATGATAATATTCCATAATATATCTATGTTAATAAGGAATAATAGAAAGCCAAATAACTAAAACAGCTTACGAAAACAAATTGCATTTAAACTGGTAACGGTAACCTAATAACCTATTGTACTTCAATATATTAATTAACCAGAAATGCAGGGCCTACCTTTAAATAAACTGGATGTGAAATCAATTTCATAAAAGTATACAGTTAGTGAGTTAGTATTTGACTTATACATGCACGAACAATACTCCTACATCACTATATAAAATAAACCCATAAATTAAAAGAGAAAATCAGATTTTCTCAAAAATGGCCCAAACAATTTTAATAAAAAATACCCCCGCCGCAGCAAACCTGCAGACTAAGCGAATTTCCATTTGACTGATTGGATTTACACTGAAATGTCTACTAAAAAATATAACATTAATTACCTATTTAAATAGAATTAGTTTAACAAGTACTTAGGTTTGCTGCATCAGGGAGGGTAAAACTGTTTTTTTTTTTTTTTTGTAAAATGTTAATAGTTAGTAAGAAATAAAAACATTTTCCAAATTTGATCAAAATAGGTTCATAAACAAGCAAACTACAACAGTTTACTTATCCTCCATAAGAATAACATAGGAATTTTAAATTTACAATTTTTTGGAATTTTCTCCGTAACCATTAGGCGCATAATAACGCTTCAATATACTAAATTATTTGTTTTTTTAAGCTCTACAAAATGGTTTGGAAAGAAATTGCTAAATTTTATGTTTTTTGGGTCAAAAATGGGAAAAACCTATTTTTACCCCATAAAACGCCCCGTAAACCCCCGTTCCCATGGTCCGATCAAGCTGGATCGCGAACTCGTTCGAATAAACGTAGGTTTACACGTTTGTACCAAATTTCATCAAAATCGGATCATTTTTGCTCGAGTTATCGTGCTAACGGACACATATATATATATATATATATATAAATATATAAATATATAAACATATAAATATATAAATATATATATATATATATATATGAATTTTAACGGATGGTGTTTTTGGCCTCTAGGGACCTCAAAACGAAAAAAAAATCAGTCCCGCGTCCAGGTCTTACCATGAGTACTACGGTAATAGATTATTCCCTATATGGGAAATTCGCTAAAATTAATTAAGGTTTGATGAAAATTTGTATGGTCCTTATCATTTTAAACAAAATAGTGCAACACCCCAATTGCTGTAAAAATTACAGTTCAAAAGTTGTTGCAACTTTTGTGATTTCCCTTATAAATTATAGTTACTCCCTCCGCTTACTCATATTAAAGGTTGTTGCCAAGCTAATGGGAAAAAGCATGTTTCAGATTGCTGTTACCGTTTAATTTCTTTCAGTAAAAAATTTTGTTTAAGTTGGTATAGGGTAATAAAAAAAAGAATTATTAAACAAACAACAAAATATGTTGGATATAAATTTAGGCCTATGATAAATTATATTTTCAATGTAAAAAGGCAAATACAAACACACATCACTAAAGTAATTACAAATTCCTACTTTAATGAACATTACATTTCACATTTTAAGACGTCATGTAAAAGGTGAACAATCTGGTTAAAGTTGTACAAATATAAAAAAATATGTTAGCTTACAAAACTTACAACTTAGGGAATATAACAATGGATTTAATTTTTGACAGTTTTTGCCCGTTTTCCATAATTGATTTTTTAGTACCGGTACATTACATAAAAAGTAGTGCATTAGTTTAATTATTGATTTAAATCTTTGGGTGCTGTTGAGTTTGATGTTTATAACAACGTAACTAAGGCTGTGTGGGATTTGTGGTCGGTGTTTGCCGTCTTGGTGAGTCTTCTTGAATTACTTGTAGTTTTCTTGCAGGATGACGGACCCAGTAAACTTGCCTGGATTGGGCAACTGTAGTGCTATAAATAAATAAATAAAAATTAATGTTTTTTTTTTATTTACGCTAGTGAGAATTTTAGTAGAAGCAACTCAAATTATTTGAGAGAAAATTGGTATAGACTAGGTAGAGATTAAAATGAAAATTTATTGAAACTTTTCAAGTGATTATAATAACCTATTTTGTGAAGGTTATACAATCCAGGCTCACTGTTTATTATGTTATGATTTAATTTTGTTCAATTAACTAATCTTGAAATTGTTGCACACACACAATATTTTTGTACTCACAAAAAGGTGACGTTGCCAACAAAGTCAGTATCCGGAAGCCAGCGCATATGAGCTTCTGTTTTAGGCTCAGAATCAAGGTGTATGGCAGTATTCTAAAAAATAGAAAATGCTTATTTCACTCTCGTTAGTTTCATAAATATTTTTTTTAAACGGAATAAAATCCTAGCAAGTGCATGTGTTAAACACACTAGCTCAAATACAAGTTCACTATGAAAGAACTCGAAACCGTCAAATACAACTTACATACAGGATATACTGTTGACCGTTTGTATCGTATTTTGTCAACGTATAGCACAATTCAATATATAATAGCTATTTTTTTAACTTTGAATAGGTAGCCTAAAAGTTAAAAAATATGTACTACTAATTGAATTTATCTAAATCACATATTGGTCTAAACAGTATACAAAATTAGGAACTCAATAATTTTAAAGCCAAACTTACAAAGGGGTATTCTTAAAGTGACAAACCATGCAGGTGTGATGCTTTGAAATTTGAGCATTTCAATAGCTTGATGTTTCCTTTCAAAAGCCTACCTAAAATTGATGCAATGGATATTTCAAGTTGCAATGTTGTTAACCCCTAATAGATGACACTACGGAATTTTCCTCCAGACGCATTTCTTTTTATAGGAAATGTGTGTTATCACCATGTTTGATGTATATACCATAGTCCCCCTAGTCAAACGTAACAAATTACTTATTTATTTAATTTTTGTGCTATGGAATTTACTACTTTGTATAATACTTACAGCAAACACGCCAAAGCAAGTCATGACTCTAATGTCCACACAGCCGGTGTCAAACTCTCCGATTGGTTTACCAGTGTCATCCCTAGCCTGGACCATAAACCCAGAAAACTGCACATCTGGATTGGCAGATTTGATTGCAAAATGTGCAGAGAGACGGTTAGGAATAACGTCGCTGTGTAGGTAGAACTGGTAGGGAGGGGGAGATTTCTGGGGAGTTCCTCCATGACTGGGGTCCATTGTCTCACAAGCATCCGGAGGTTCTGCGGCCACCGTAGCAATCAGGAACAGCAACCATCCCACCACCATTCTGAAACCAAACCAGGCTATATATGAACACCAGGAAACATGCTTATGGGACTACGTACCTTGTGCTTTCAGCTCTAGTAGGTTGTGCCAGAAATATACTTGTGACGAGCAAAGATAGCTCAAGCAGCAATCATGGAGAAATTCCTATCGCACAGGGCATAGTGTCTTCCTCCACTGTGAGTTTTGTAGTACTGTACATGAGAGCTAGGAGGTGGTGTCTATGCCCTAGACACCAGTGACTAGTGCTAGACATCACTGAATGTTTTACCTCTGTACCTACCTTACTTCTCTGTACTGGTGTTCTTATGGCAACCACTCTGCATCCAAGCAAGGCTATGTAGTACTGTAGTAGGAACACATGGTAAACAGGTATCCATATAATAATCATAGAAACTTCAACGCCAAGCTACTAAGATAACATGGAGCAAAGCCAATAATGTTTTATCCTCACTATGAGTGGGAAATGTTCTTGATTTTGCCACAAATGTGGGAGATGATGTCAAACATAGCAAAGACAGCTATGTCTCAACCCCCCGTAATCATCTAACAGAATTAAGGTAAAATAGCCTTTTATTTATTAATTATTTATTCTCAGATCTATACTATATACTTCCGTAGAGGTTCTGTACAAATTGTTATTTAAAAGGGACTTTACAAAGAGAGAATAAAAAGTGAGCATTATTTTCATCAAGCAGGTTAAAATACAATATGAGCTAATCTTGTTCAAATAAACAATAATGATCAAACTAAAAATATTGACTACTTACACTGAACAGGGGAGTGATTCATCACAAGTATCATTTGTTAACTGATAAGCTATACACAGAATGATTTAATGATAAGACTGCTACAATTGATTAATCTCATAAGCTTACACCTCCATCATCATAATAGTTTCAATGCATTGGGAGTATTTGGCAAGAAAACTAATAAAGTGTGTTTTTTTGTAAAATATTAATAGCCTAGTATAAAATAAATACATTTGCCAAGTTTGGTCAAAATATAGGTACCTACCTAAACAAACTAACTAGAACATTTTACAATATTCTCCACAAGAATAACATAAGAATTTTATATTTACAATTTTTTTGAATTTTCTCCCTTACCAATAACCCCACAAAAACAATTTGATACAAGTTTTTTAAGCTCTTTAAAAAGGTCTGCAGGTAAATTGATAAATTTTAAATTAACTTGATACATTTTTTAGCAAGGCCTTTGACACTATTGACCATGGCATTGACATTTAATTAGAAAAGGTTAAAGTTTCTTTGGCTTGGTGAATGCAAAAAGCCTTGACTTTCTGAGGTTCTATCTGGTCGAGCGTGGGCAGCTGGTGTCCCTAAATGGTAAAAGCTCAAGTATCAGAAACCTAACCCATGGCGTTCCGCAGGTTGTTGAAGCTATAGAAATAGTGCTGTCGAGTTGAACTTAGCTTTAAATCAATCTCTAAATGTTGCATGTACCTGGTTCCGGCCAAACTATCTCTTTTTAAATCAAGATAAAACCCAATCTATTGTTTTCGTTTTCAGTCTCCGAAAAATTGAGCATGAGGTGAGGAGTGTAAAGCTTTTAGGCATTTACCTAGACTTTAAGCTAGATATTGGAACAGCCATATTGGAGTGAAAATTTAAAAACGTACGTTTTCATGTCCCTGGCCTTTTACCTCGTAGATACTGGATTTGTAGTTTATTATTATGTATTTTAATATTTTTTGGGACGGGGGCAACATGTTACACACATTTATTTGGTTTTAAATAGGTTCTAGGTATTTTTTTCGTATTTTTAAAGTCTCGAAATTCACGACCATGACGTGTCCCTAGGGTACATTTTCCAACTTTCACGCTGTTTTTAGACTAATTATTTATGCCGAAATATATAAAGCCATATTTTTATGTCATCAATAGTTATTAAACTTACACAAAAGGAGCATATTATAATTTTAGTGTCATTGCAAACTGACTACCATGACAAAATAAGTCTGTCCCTCGATTTGGCGTCACGACCATTTGGGAAAAATTTTCAACTTTGGAGCACGACAGTGGCAAGCCTGGCGTTGATTGCGTCAGTTCGTTTTAGAGACTAGTTCGGGGTGTACGTCAATTTTGTTGTGCCGGTCGTTTTGTGTTGAAAGAAGTAGTTACAAGATAAATAAAGGTAATTTTGTGTTTTTTGTAATTTTGGTGTGTCCATGACCATACGTAGTCATTTGATGAAGTAGACGTGGGGTTAATTTTTGTTGATATGATATTTCAATTGCTACATTAACCTAGAAGTCCATTTTGTATCCTCGAACATGAGGTGCAGGGCTACCTCCAGAACAGAGCCAAATAACACGTAATGTCACGACCAAAGTTTCACGACCATCGCGGGTTTTTTCACGACCAATCCAGCCTTATGGATTATACTGTGTTTGGTCGTGACAATAACTTAAATATAATTGTAAATTGAACAGTTTAGTTCAATTGAAACACATATTTTTATTATAACTAACAGTATAATTGAAGGATTGTTTACAAAGATTTAAATTTTTTCTGACAATTCACGACCGTACCGCTTGTCCCTGACCATCACGTTGATGATTTCTATCAAAAAAATTTCAAAAATTAAAATATCATCATATTTCAATGTTTTATACACAAAAGAAGTACACCTCTATAAAAACATAACGATTTTTCGGGTCTCAGGTAAGTTTTTTCGGAGTTATACAAACTTTAAAAGATTTTATTGGCTTTTTTTCAACTTTTTGAGTTTTTTTATTTTTTTCTAGAAATACCATATATACCAAAAGCTTAGTCAGCTGTTTATTGTATGATGGCCATCAAAGTAAATTAATTAATAGCAAAACATAGTTACAAAAATAATATTAACTATTTTTAATATTCAGTTTTATGTCCGTGATGGTCGTGACAAAATTTCGTGTTTTTTCATCAAAGATGCTCTATTAATAAAAAATCACCAAAGATATTGCGTTACCATGGACATTTTATAAAACTTCAAATGTCAATAAAATTAAAAAAATAAAAAAAGTTTCAAAAAACGGAACCAAAAAATTTAAAAGTGCTTTTCCTGAAAACGTACGTTTTTAAATTTTCACTCATTGACTATTGTAGCCGACTGACAAGACTAGGTAAATGGTCACTTCGTAAGTTAAGGCACTGTGTATCAAAAGATTGTTTAAGGACTGCGTGAATGTGGCCTTTTTCCAGAACACCATCACATATGGAGGACTTTGGGGTGCCGCTCCTGGAGTTGAGAGGGTCCTACTTCTAAAAAAAGGCTATAAGAATAGTAGCAGGGGCCAAGCGCCTGGATCCGGGGCTGGATCACTGTGAGCAAGGCTGAATCCCTCATGACAGTTTATAATCTTTTTATCTATCAGACCCTCGTCAAAACTAAGGAGGAGGTGGGCGCTCAGGAGCGACATCCACTCTTACAATACGAGAAGTAAACAGGATTAAACTTTCTTCTTTTTGATGGCAATTTGTCGTGGTGGCACCTTGACCCTTGACGCGCTCCCACCACTCCTACACGACGCTCCCATATAGTATCATGTGTGTAGCGAGCATAAAGCCTCGTTCACACGGTGCGAGTTTACAAGCTACTCGCCAGCGTGTAAGAAGCCGGCGAGTTGGCGAGTGTGCTTGTATTCGTTCACACGGACCTTGTCCACTCGCAGACGTGTAGAAAGACGCCGGCGAGTCGGCGAGAGCACTTGTAGTCGTTCACACGATGCTTTTCCACTCGCTCTAGTGATGGGACAACCGACTGGAAAAAACAATCGACTAGTCAATCGGTTGTTTTAAAAACCAGTCGGTTTTTTCAGTCGAATGAAAAACCGAGTGAATTCTACTACAACTGGTGACTGGTGGTGTTCAATTCAATCGGCGCAATGGTTTCAGTCATTGCAATGCAAGGAAAACAATCAAAATCAATCACACTATTACTGGAAACGTTTGAGTCTTTGTTGTTGATTTATTGTCTGTTTTTTTTGTGTTGAAATTTTATATGTGTTATTAAAGTACTTAATAACATTTAGTTTATACAGGACAAGTTTATTCAGTAGACCTACTTTCTCAAACTAAGCTCAGTAAAACAAATATTCCTGATCACTTGGTTATGGTTTTAAACTGTATAGGTCATTTACATCTAATCATGAGTACAATACTTAAAAAACAGTGAACTGGAAATTAAAAATTTTTTTTACATAAAAAATACACATTATTATACTATTTTAATTGTACCTAAACACTGTTCGCAATTAGTGTACAGTACGATAGTTTATCTACAACTGTTTTCATTCACCAGTCAGTCTCAAAAACAGTCAGTGTGGTTCTTACGACTAGTTTCAATCATCGACGTTTGACTGTTTCCAGTTATTCCAACGACTGGTTGACTGGTTCCAGTCGCCGTAGGACCGGGAGTATGAAGTGACTAGTTTCAATCATATCCGGGAGAACAACCGACTAGTCGGTTTTTTTCCAACAATCGATTGAATCGGTTGTTTTCAATCAGTTGTTCCCATCACTAACTCGCTCAGTAGCTGGCTTGAACCAAATCCTCCAACATCTTTGAGTAACATGCGCACAAGCACAAGCAACTGTGTTCACACTGGGCTACTTTACACGCCTACTCGCTCAAAAGCTGGCGAGTTGGCGTGTAAAGTAGCGGCAGCGTCAACTTTTTCCAGAGCTTTTTTACAAGCAGCTTTTGAGCGAGTACGTCGTTCACACTGAGCTATTTTACTAGCCGCGTGTTAAAAAGCCTGCGTGTAGCTTGTAAACTAACTCGCCCCGTGTGAACGGGGCTATAGAGATGAATGTGGATGGATCGGGATGGATAGCGAGCGTCTGTTTTGTGGTCGGTGATCGAGACAGCTTCACTTCAAGTGGTTCAAGTTCACTGCTTCACTTTCGCTTCGCTTCGACTTCAACAGACGAACTAGAGACAAGAGACAACTAAACAAAACAAAATACATAACAAAAAAAGCAGTACACAAACACTGTCACTGTAGTAAGACTAGTAAGCTGTCCGTAATTTCCTCCTGTCATCTAAACTGTCAAAGGGAAAGGAAAGGACTGTAAGAATTAATTACCCTTTACTACTGACTGTATGAACTAGGCAAAGTTATATGAATCAATACAAAGTGTGTATTTATCTTGTATCCAACCAGCTATAGAATCATACGCTGTAAAAGTCACTATCTCAATCCTAGGAAAATTCAGGTAAGACTAGGCCTATAATCAAGCTCTATAATAGTACATACAGGCATATCTTGAGATCCTTACATACAAAGTAATCAAGAATTTTATAATGATTTGATATTTCGTTTTGATATAAGACACAACTTCAGCAGTACAGGGTTCATTGATTCAAGGCTAGGCCTAGGCCAAATAGGCCTACTGGTATTTTTTGACAGTGACAGATTAGCCCACTAGGCCTAATTTTAGGTACAGTTTTTTTAACTTATGCTAATATCGATTGAAACTATCGATTCGATTAGTAAACCTTCATGCGATTTTTACACCATCAGCAAGTTTGGTTGGTTAGGTTAGGTTATGATAGTTTAATTTTATAATAAACTTAGATATATTTAAAAATATTGATTATTAATAAATATTTCGAATTTGATAGTTTCAATCGATTTTAGCATAGCCCAGTTAAGAAACTGTAGGGCCTACCCCTAATTTTATTCAACTTTTAACTCATTCAGCCGGTGTACAATCTTTTGCTGCATTTTGCCTGTCTGTCATGAAGTCATGTTAAGGGTTAAATTCCGGGTAATTATTTGATATATCAACAATGCGATATCGTGTAATTTTTAGATGTCTACTTACAGTATTTTTCACGCTGAATCCAAAAATGCAATCAGTTTTTGTCGGAGAGATTCCTAAGTGGCCATACAGTTAAATAATTAACATTAAGCTTCAGTTTTGTTGATTTATTAACATATTTGTGGTATGGACGAGTCCAAGTTCTAGTGGCGACTAACACTAAAAGGGGTGGAAGGTTTGTGGAGTGGAAACAGCTGTCAATTGTTTACATTCAATACTAAACAGACAAAACCACACACGACGCCATGAGAGCAAAATCAGAGTTACAATATGCAATAAATAGATTTTTAAAAGAAAATGGACTTTGGTGCTGTTTAGAAAATACAATAAATCAACTACCATACATAAACTATTAATCACATGAACATAAATTGTAAAACAAAATAGAATTTATTCACGTAAAACATCAGTAATAGAAGCTAGGCCACTGCCGATCGATGTCTGGAAGTAGCATAAATTAATGAGTCGGTTCATTATAACCTAACCTTTACCTTCCTAATCTAACCTCACTTCAAAACACTTAATACAGTCACGAATCCGCATAAAACCCGACCTACCTTCCTCACATGCCTAAATAAGAACTGATTATTTGGTTTCAAAACGAATTGATTTCATTCCGCATTAAGTCTAGCATAAACAGATGTTTGCTCTCCTACTCACTCAGTCCACAGTCTACATACCGACCCATCCAGACCACGCCATATTACCATCAGTATAGCTCAATGAACCATAGATTCGTAATTTTAACCTTCGTTTTACGGCCGCTTATGAATCTCTCCGACAAAAACTGATTGCATTTTTGGATTCAGCGTGAAAAATACTGTAAGTAGACATCTAAAAATTACACAATATCGCATTGTTGATATATCAAATATTTGCCAAATTCCGATAAGGGCAACTTATTTTCTATTGTTCCTACTTCGAACAATATTGAGCTTAAATCATTGGTAGGACTAAGTCATTTTCAATCATATTAATCCATGACCTTTCTACTTTAAATTACCATATGCATGCCTATCACATTAAATGCTACGATAATTGTGCTTAATAACTTAGTGCAAATAAGCTGTTTCGGTTGGCCGGGACTGCAGTGTTGCCACTTTTGTCTTGCCGCGGCCTTGTATTAGAGGAGGCTATGCCAATAGTCAATGATTATACAAATGACTGTAACAGCTGATTTAGATGTTTTTACAGTTCCATTTAACCCTAGCAGTGGCCAACCGTCGTCTGGTGGCGGTTTGACGTTGATGCTTAGAATGGCCAGCCGTCGTCTGGTGACGGTATGGGCCGAAATTATTTTAACGGTAAAAAAAAAACACTTATAATCAACTCAGATGAGAATAATATATATACCATTCGAAAGATCACATTCTGAACTTTCGTTTTATTACATAAACAAACCCTGTAGCAGGTATATAACAATGTCACGACGATTAGAAATCAAATGAATTTTTGGCGCGGCACGACTTTAGCAGCAGCCGACCCTTGGGAACTGGCAAAACACGTCTTGTTTGGCATTACCCTGCTCGGGTAATTTACGTCTTGGGATGTTGCGGGTGGTACCACTGGATAGCCATTGATTTTATCTTCATTGTGGTAGTGATATTTTAGAACTAAATATTGATTGGGCAACCGGTACGATTTTATGAAAACAGCTGTTTTTGAAATTTCTTACAAATGGCCAACCGTCGTCAGGTGACTGTATGGAAAATACAAATTACATAGGCCTACAGTGTAAGTTATTATTATATAATATGTCATTTTTAAGAGGAAGAAATGTAGCTTGTGATAGTTTCTTTTGGTTGTATTTTGAGGTTTTCCGTTTATTTATATTATTATTATGCCCCTAGCACGTAAAAACAAAAATTTTTACCCAACATGTTATACATTTTTATGTAGGTAATTGAAATACACTACAAGATGTTTATGTTGGGTTGAAGTAAAAACATTTGGTACAAAAGTTTTATAGGGCCTACTAAATACTATGATTTTTTTTTCTCACAAAATCGTTAAAATACAAAAACATTATTTTATTTATAAATAAAAAATATTTTTACCATCAACTTTATGACTTTTTTTGATTCCTTACTTCATTAGCTTTACAAACATGTATATATCATTATTAGTATACACATATATTATATCACTTTTTACAACACAAACTAAACACTGTACGGTTTTCAATTTTTTTCGGTTCTCCGTTTGTTATATTTTGCCCCAAAAACTTATTAAAAAAATATATTTTCTTAACATGTTATATTTTCCATATAGGGAATTAGATTGTCTACAAAATGTATATAATGAATTTCCCATAAAAAATCCGTAGAAAAAAAAATACCGAAACCGCTTTTGAAATAAAAAAAAAAGATTTTTATATTTTATTCACTTTACCGAAAAAATACACTATCTAAATCATTATTATATTACTATTTCTAGATTCTCCGGTTCTTTCCGAACAAAATGAATATGAGGTTGACTAGGTTTACTTGTACGGTTGAATTGTTACGAATTTTCAAAAAAAGGTCTGCAAAATCGCCCAAATGGGTTGGCCATTCCCCACTTCTAACATTGGCCACTGCTAGGGTTAAATATTATTACATACATGTTTACCTTCGGGCCAGTAACTTAATTTGTTTATGTTTACGATCCATACAATTTCTGTTCCAATATCCGAAGATACTATTAAGTTAATATAGGAACAAAAAGAGTAAAAAGACCAACCCAACCACATGACTGAATGGGCCATCAATAATATATTTTAAGTATATATGCTCAGTATGTGTATTTAGAAGTCAGGGTGTCCGAAAAAGAATGCCGGGATTTTAAACGTGCATTGATAGCCTACTATTCAAAGGTACATTTCAATACTATCATCACTAGTATCATTCAATACTATTCAATAAAATACCATCGGTAGGCCACCATTCAAGATAACTAAACAATTTAAACGTCCAATTGGAGTCAAAAATACCAAGTTTTGTCTTTCCGTGCAGCAAGGAAGGAAACATTAACCTTGGCATGCGCAAAATGGGTGGGCTGTGGCAGGCCACCTTTGTGAATCAAACGCCTGATGTCAGTCGCCAGTACGATGTTCTTGGTGCAACAAAAAGCACAGTGTGGCATAGTTTGAAACTGAAACCAGCTGTCCTTGGTCATTTGAGCTTTTAATAAATGATCCTGACTAATGAAACAGCTGGTCTTAGTCAGTAACAAGGCTACACAAGGAATCACACTTCATTCTACTCTCATCCTTTGCTCATATTTGGGTTAAAATACACAAGTGGCCTCCTCATCTCTAATGATTGATAAAATTCATTTTACCGAATTTCCCTGTAGAGAATAGCTATTACCGTAGATCTCATGGTAAGACCTAGACCCAGGACTTATTTAATTTTTCATTTTGATGTCCCCAGAGATCAAAAACACCAAATTCGTAAAAATTTGTATGGATGTATATACGTGTCAAAATAAGAAGGGAAAGCCCCGTTCACACGGGGCGAGTTTACAAGCTACAAGCCGGATTTTTTACACTCAGCTAGTAAAATAGCTCAGTGTGAACGATGTACTCACTCAAAAGCTGCTTGTAAAAAAGCTCTGGAAAAAGTTGACGCTGCCGCTACTTTAAACGCCAACTCGCCAGCTTTAGAGCGAGTAAGCGTGTAAACTCGCCCCGTGTGAACGAGGCTTTACAATACCTGCAGACTGCCTGGATAGTGGATAGTGGTCCTCGAACATCCAACAGGATTACACGTTTCGGTATACAGTAGAGTCCCGAAAACTCGGCACTCGATAACCCGGCAGTCTGGATAACTCGGCCATCATCTGGCTCAGAAAATTAGTGATTTTTTGAGTCCGAGTTCAACATGTACTCAAGCCAGCTCAAGTAAAATCATTCACAACTCGTACCAAGGATGTATTGTACAATATCTGATGACTTAATCCTGACTTGTAATATAAATATAAATAACAAAGGCAGCTAAAAGGCTTAAAAATTGTATTGTTCTTATTTTTAACCCTAGTTCCCGATAACCCGGAATTTCACAAACTCGGCACCCTTCCAGTCCACATTACGCCGAGTTTGCGGGACTCTACTGTATTGTTATACCATCATCTGATCCTTTACAACATGAAATGTACACGTGTGTCTGTGAACTTGACAACTCGAGTAGGTAATTTGGTTTGATTTTGATGAAATTTGGCCTGAATGTGTAAGGTGATATGAAGTTGAATGAGTTTGCGGTCTGCGGACCATAAAAAACCTGGGGTTGTTTTTAAGGTAATCAAATTATGTGATTTTACAAATTGAAAATTTCCAATTCTCATTACAACCATCTTGTAGAGCTAAAAACAATTATGTACTTTAAAGCATTGTTGTGACAGTTGAAGGCAGAAAATTTCAAAAACTGTAGCCTAAATCAATCACTGTAGCTGTGTTCAATTATTTAAGATTAAAAATGTGTTTTTTTCAGGATTCCTTATTTGTTGATCCAGAAAAAAAAATTCTTTCAAGAAGGTTGAAAAGTGCTTCATGAAAAATAAAATGAGTAAGTTGTGTCAGTTAATTTTGTCTACGGTTTAACTCAAATGAGGGCATATGCTATTTAATTTTAATAAAGAGGTTAATTTCAGTTTTGTTTTCACTTTTTGAAATTGTCACCTTTTTTAAAAACTGATATGAGAATCTACAGTGTTGGGAAGTAGCGCGCTACAAGTAGCGACGCTACAGTATAGCGACGCTACAGTAGCGTGCTACTTTTTTTGTAGCGTTAGCTGTAGCTCCGCTACTTATATGATTTTGTAGCTTTAGCTGTAGCTAGCTACATTTTTAAAGTAGTTGTAGCGGAATTTTAGCTACTTTTCTCGCTACATTAGCATTGTTTGAGATAGTGATTTTTATCATAACCTCAACCTTACGTGAAACAACCTCTTTCAAACTGAGATTTTCTAAAAAAATTAGGCCTACTTTCTTGGCTTCATACAGCTGGTAGCAGCCGTTTCATTCCCTATTACAACGTTGTGTGGACATGGAGGCCAGTAAATGAGTGTTATCCACATTTTGGCTCTCATTTCCTTAATTTACTACTCTATGATTACTATCAGATAAAATAAAATCGCTAGATGCAGACGACGTTTAAACGTTACCGGTGACAAGAGAAGCTATTGAATGCTTGCAAGTGATTGACAGGGAAATTAGTAATCAATTTAGTTTCTTTATTATATCGATAGTGTTTCAACTTGGGTTTTAATGGAAACCAACACTAAACCTTAAAATAATGAGAAAGCTCTATCAACCTTTGCTTCAGCTGTTGATTGTGGTTCATCATCACAAGCCCTTCCTTGGTTAGATTACGGAGATTTTTCAAAGGTTTAGTTTACTAAATTAACAAAGAGGAAATTACCTGATGAGATTTAAGGTATGCCTAGACTACATGATAATTGTAACGAAAACATCTCCATATAACATGAAACTTACATTGAAAAAAATAGCATAGTTTGCTCCTGCTAACACCTCTTGTAGGACTATTCCTAGGCTATGCTATGGTTTAAGACGAATACCAAGTCCCAAGTTCAATTATTATGAATATATCTGTTTAGTCCTTGCAATAACAAGCCTACTATAGCCAACTTGTTACATAGCCAAGTAGGCCTACATGTTATTTTTACTTTACAAATTTCAACATGTTTAAATTAAAAGACGATTTCAGGATAAGTTGCTGAATACTGTTTTCTGTACCAACTAGGTTGAAGCACAATTTGCCCTATGCATATTGACAATAAAGGACGATTTCTTGACATTGAAAAGTGTTATTCATAGAACAAGTAACTTATCACTATGGTTAAAAGTTATAGCAATGTCGTTTTTAACATTAAAAGTAAAGATATGCAATAAACTCCAATTTCAGTAGGCTAGGCTCTGTAACACAAAAAGTATTTTTAAATAATCGTTTTAAAGTTTTATTGGTCTTAATTGTTGATATAAGACATCTATAAATGAATCTATATTAAAGAAATAAAATGAGCTTTTAAAATATAGTTTGGTTGTAAGTCCTTTGAACTTAATGAAATTTACATATAAGATGCTTAAAAATAATGCAATATTTCAAAATAAGTACTAAATGTGATGGGACACCCAACTACAGTATTTGGTTCTGTTGTTGTAATGTTAGGTTTATGCCAACAAATTAAATACAATCTAGGAATAATTTGTTTTCCAAGTAATGTTAGATACAATACTGACATTTCTTTTTTAAATGTTTGTTCAATAAAAATGTAGTTGCAATTAATTTTACATTTACCTAATGTGCGTGGAATAAAAAGTAACGTCTTTGGAAAAGTAGCCAAAATTGTAGCTGTAGCTACATTTCATTGTAGCTGTAGTTGTAGCTAGCTACATTTTCGGAACTGTAGCTGTAGCTGTAGCTAAGCTACTTTTTTGGAAATGTAGCAGTAGTTGTAGTTAGCTACATTTTAAAAGTAGCTTCCCCAACACTGAGAATCTACTGTACTAAACACACGCACTACACCTCCGTGCACTGCTAAAGCTACTTCACACACTTATAGGCCTACAACTTACTAAATTCAATATTTGGCAGTTGGCAGTGTAAAAATTAATGTACAAAATTCCACCCTGCTCAATATACAGTGTGTGAAGGCCAATCTTTCTAATCTTTTCTACAATTTTAGTGAGACTACAACAGGCATTCTTTGTACTTTGTCAGATAGTATTTTTATGTGTACCTACTGTATTTGTTTATTAAAGAAAGATCATTATAATAGATTTATCATCCATATCTGAATTTTAAAGTCCATTCTGTCATGTTAATTTAAAGGGGGGTGTTTTGTCAACAGTTTTAGAACTACTGTATGTTAACCAAATAGGCCTAATACAATCTATTTATAAACCATGGTTTTATGGTATCTTAAATAAAGAGTAGGACCTAACTATTTTATAAGCCCTAAATAAGAGAAAAACACATACGTAGTGTAGTCAACACTGGCGTTCAAACGTCTCAAACACGAAACAGGCTTAAAATAGGCTTCTGATTTTACAATAGTTTGAGAAGTCAAAGTCTTCTTTTGCCATTTACGGTTCCTAGTGTACTTTTAGTAAATGATACAGAATATGTTTTGTTTCATGCAGCCAACATTTGTATTTGCCATGTGGGCGGTTATGGTTATGATGTTTTTGTGGTCCAATGTTGGCAATATTGAAAATGACTCTTTTGTAGCATCTCCACGTCAAGGTGAAGACCAGGAAGATGAGCCAGAAATCAATGAAGAGGAAGAAGAAGCTATGGAAGAGGTGCAACTTTTTTGTTTCAGCCTAAATTGTGCCTTTTAAGAAAGTTTGTTCTTTCAAATTATGAACTTTTGGTGGTACAAAATGCAAATAATTAATGGTTCCAGTCAGATAATCTTTGTCTTATCTATGTCATATTACCAGCATGTTTGGCTGCCTTAAGTTTGGAAATGTGATGTTAAATAAATTTTTAAGGTAGCTAGAGATGTTGTTTGTTGTAATGTGAATATTTTTCTTAGATTTTTAGCATCTGCACCTAAGGATGATAGATTCATACCATTTGCTTGACAAGAGACCACTTTTGTTGGGTTTACAATTTGTTTATATCTTTTAGATACCTCCCCTATCGGTTTTACATTCTTTTGTTCAGTCAAACAGTGATCTACCAGCAAAGTTCCCTTATTGGCCTCTTCTTCAAACGAGACTAACAATCGCGGCAGGAATGTGCAAAACATTGTACCCATTGGGTGAATGTTTACGACCACCTCCGACTTCCCCCTACCTTTGTTTGATCATTCAAACATTTTAACTCATTCACATCTGTCAACAGCCAATAGATTTCACTAGCGGTTGTTGCTTTAAAACATAGAAATATAATCACAGAAAAGATTAATTCTTGGTAGGAACGTAGATTTTCCTTAACATTGGTTTTGGCTACGAAGACTAGACTATCTGCCTAACGCATAACAGTGGGAATTATCTAGAATAGTTGTGGATAAAATAAAGAGTACTTACCTGGCCGTTGCTCAATGGAGACTTTAGTTCACTGACAACCATCGTAACTTGGTGACAAAGAGTTTTTTATTGTTCTATTTAACATAAAATGCAATCAGACATTGTCAAGCAAATGGTGGCCCCACCGTGCAAAATGCATTGGTCATTTGGTTTCAGAGACTTTATCTTAGCAAATCTTTCTAAGATGTACATTTTGTCGTTCTTGATGATCTGTCCTATTTTCCCGGTCTTATTATAATACTTCCTTAAAAAAACATAAATATTTAGATTTAGATTTCTCAGAAACATATTTTACTTGCAAAATCCAAACTTAAGTTTTATGAGCCCTTGTTATTTTCATAATTTTACTCAGAAAATTATAAATGTTCTCCTTTTTAAACACTCTTGATTATTTAAGAGCTAGTTAAGTAAGTGAAAATAAAGTTATATACTTTTAGAAACACTTTGCAAATCAATAGGAATTAAAAATGCATTGCGGTTTAGAGCTAATGAAGCTAAAGTAATTTAAATACCTTGGGTAAAATTAATTTATTTACTGACTAAAAATCTGGAAATTATCATATGATTTATTCTATGATCCAAGCTTGATGAGTCGAAACATTTAACTGTCTCATAGCCTGTTTAATTCCTAAATTACACCGTAATATATCGTAATGACAAACTTATCGCCTAGGAGGAAGTGCCAGACTCTTCCACCTCTACGACTGTCGGTCGATCAGTCACTCTACAGAAACTCCTGGCCGCTGGGATTCTACACCCCGGTGATCAAGTCATGTCGATAGAATACTTGGTGAGCTTCGTCTCAACCTGGCTCTTTCTCACATTTCTTTTCGCATGGTTTCACCTTGGTTTTCGGTGTTTGGTGTTTTTAACTCTCGATGTTTTTGAAACTTGTGATGGACCTGAAGGTGGAATTGTACCCGAGTACTAATGCAGTTTGTGCTACTAATACTCCAGTTTTGTTTCTCAACTTTTCAGAAACCAGACGATGTAAGTAACAATGTGTCAGTTGTATTCTTTTTAATCGGCTTTGCTTGTTAATCGTCATCAGTCTAATGCTATGATTTTTAATAATTCACCGCAGCTTTGTCAGTTTCACATTTGTTTAATGTTTTACATAGAATGATTGTTTACTAACAAGATTTTTTGTGATGTGATTGTACAAAATTTACTTGAAAGAATAACAAATGTATTTTATAATACTGTAAAAGTGTAATGTTATATGTATAATTGATTTTGCTGTTTTAGTTTTCAATTATATTAAGACTAAAATTAACTAAGATCCTGTTTTAAACTTATTAATGTGATTTCAATTGTTTGAGTTGATTGTATTGTGTTTTTTTTATTATATTTTTGTTTAAAAAAATTAAACTGTAAACGATGTTTAAGGATTGAAAATGTACGATTAACCCCAATTGTGTCCAGATGTAAAATAAACAAAGATTTTTGTTAATCCTTAAGCTAATTTTTTTCATCTGAATATTTGTAATATTCCTAGATTATTATGTACTTATAATGCATTTTTGTCATATTTTTCTTCTCTTTTGTCTCATAAAATTTTTTAATGTTTCAGAGCGGAAAAGTCCTTCATCCTTAACATTTGTCTTATTTCCAGGACAAATCAACGGAATCACTCACCACATGGCCGCCCCAATGCAAAAATTACTCACAGAATAAGTTATACACAGACAAATAAATACTCACAGTGTTTGTATTGCAGGGGCAGAGATTTATGGGTGATCTCCTGCCAGATGGGAAGATAAGATCAGTCGAAACGGACTTGATATTTGCGTCTCCGAGTGCGTGGGCGATACATTGCAAACGCATCATCAACCCGGACAAAAAGTCTGGTTGCGGATGGGCTTCTGTAAGTGGAAACACACTTATTATGCAATTGTTTTTTTAACTGAATAAAATATTCTTACTTGGTTTTTTGTGAGAGAACTGGATTAAAAAAATATTAAATTCATGCTTGGCCTCAAGATTTTGTAAACTGTTCTTTGATTAGTTAGACAATGACTGGTGTGGAATGTGTAAAGAAAGACAGAGACACCAAAAGAAGGGGCAAACTCCTCAAACGTGATCATAAAGAGTACACAAGGCAGGGAGCTTTTTCAACACCATGCTTTTACAAGTGTCCATGGGTGTCCATATTACTTTTCCAGAAGGGGGTCGGGAGTTATAACCCCCAGTAAAGAGGAAGTTCCGGAGGGTCCTCCCCCAGAAAATGGGCTAAATTTAGGTAGGAAATGGTTAATGTTACAAGTCTTTGTCCCTTAATTTGTTTTGTCAATTAAACTTTTATGTTTTTACCATGTGGGGTCTTATGGGGGTTTGGGGGGAGGGGCTTGTGCGCTCCCTAGCCCATAGTGGTAGATGCCCATCCGCCCATGCAAATGTCTAGATTTAGCTTTTCCAAAACTGGCTACAAATTTAATGGGTCAAGTTATTGAAAAATCCAATATACAAGGAATATGTTGGAAACTATGTGTAAATTATTATTTTAATAAAAGACTGAATATGGATACTATTACAGTTTTAATGCCAGTTGTAGTTTATGAAACCTCACTTACAGGTGAAATATAAAGGAAGAAAACTTGATGCATGCAAGAACGAATATTTCTTCAAGAAGAAACCTTTTACAAAAAATAAAGAAAACGAACCGCAGCCTGAAAACAAAAATAAGGACAACGATCACCACTCAGACGCAGGTAGGATTTACAAAAGTACGAAAAGTTACATAGGTACATATTTACTTAGGAAGACACTTAAAATATGACCATACTGTGATATGAATACCATTCTACTATCAATAATGCCAAGATTTGAATACATTTAACTTGTTAAAGCCTTCAAATTGCCAAATAATAGAATGTTTAAGTATCTTTTCTTAGGCAATCCATTAAATTGTAGACGCAAAAAGTTTCAGCTCCTTCATCAGGCAGTACACAGGATGTTTTTCTCTCTTCATATGAAGGTCGTCACATTTAATAGACCTAAAAGTAAACACGACACATTTACGGTAACTGATTAGTTAGAATAACAGACAACACTAACTAAACTGGCAGAATTTCAGTCCAGACTGGTGGTGGTCAGTGCAGTAGTTGTAAATCCGTTATCTTATCAACTCAGGTTGCGTCTGTTTTTTTATTACTAGACCTATTTATAGGCTCTCCATATTATTTGTTTTGCGAATAGAAGTGTGTGGAACAAAGCTAGAAGGTAATCTACATAGCATATACGACATTTTATCACATGTATTAAAGCTTCACTATACAGTTTGCATTGAGTGGCTGAGTGGGTCTACTGTATTTCATTCATTACTTTGTATTGTGCAATGACACAATTAACCTTGTAGAAGAATTTTAGGTATACTGGAGGATAGGCCAGAGGTGTTATTGCCAGTAGGTTTTAGTACTAGCGCACTAAATTCTGGACACTAAAGCACTGCTAAAATATGTAGTAGTTGTGTATCAACTTATTTATCACCACTCTGGTTACAGACGAAGAAATGGAGCTGAAGCCACCAGCTTCCACCATCCTTCCCCCCACTCCAGCGGCTACCCCTACCCCTCAGCTGACTCTGGTGAGGCCGGTGGTCAAACACAACATGCTCGGCAACCGATCTACTCTGCAGTGAGTGTCTTTACTTTGGCTTAGACCCTAGTCAACATTAAGCTGTAGTTAGACATCAAAAATTTGTTTTCACAAAAAATAATAGCAAATAGCAAATGTGTTACAAATTGGTCATTTCCAAAATCAAAAGATGGCAACTTGTAGATTAATTAGTTATCAATTAAACCTCAGTAATCAATTTAAACCCAACTGAAACACCACTGATTTAGAGGTGCTACATGCATGCAGTAAAGGTAGTAAACACACTAGAGGAATTTGAAATCTACAAATTATACCATGACAACACCGCCAGTGGCGCCAGTGCACATATCCCCAACAAAATACTGTAGTTCCAGTTACACTCTATTTTTAATGTGCTAATAAACCAAAATAACCGGCCACCTGAACTTTGTCGTACTGATAACGAGGACAACGAGGAAGGAGTCTGATACTGCAGTCTACAACCTGCATCGGGTCCGTCCGCGTCTTGTGATAGGCCTATCAATGTCAAGTAAATTAAATGTGCGTTTCGTGTATTTATTGTGTGCGTGTGACATCGATGTCTAATTTGTTGTAACCTTGACGATGCCGCATTTACGGCAAAACTTGTAGATTAGGTTGTTAACCTGACATCAGAAATTTGGATTACTTGACGAGGTATTGTACCATAATTATTAGTAGTTAAACACAACATTGGTATGGATGCAATCTGCTTATCTATTGAGTGAAGGTTATTGAGATTTTCGTATTGAAATTTAAATATAGCCTATGTTCTCTTTGATTTCATTGACCCTTAGGTAATTTTTTAAATCTCTCGATTTGAGCTATGTGTATTTATCTCAAGAACTCTGCATGCCGATGTAGGAAGTTTTTTTTACAACTGTTGAGTATTTGCATGGATTAAACATACTAACTTGGTAGATTTGTCATCCTTATGCATCAGCTGAAAATTTTATTGTTGGCATCGTTCGAAGCCGCTAGGATCGTGTTTTTGTTGAAAATTTGTTTCTTGTTATTTCAATTATTTAAAACCTCGGTCAACCGAATAAAATAATCATAAACAGTAACTTGCAATAATCATACAACTTTCCTTAAAAATAATAGAAACAAAATTTTGTCGACACTAGCGCCCAGTGTGTAGACGTGAAAAACAAGGTTCAGATTTTGCAATGGGATGAGAAGTATACTTGTGTTGGTTATTAGTGTTTAACACCTGATGAACATGTTTAGTGATCCCAATACCCTGGTGGAGAGTGTGCCGTTCTCAGTGATGGGCAAGATCCAGCCCTTCCTAGTGTCTATGTCGACCAACGCAGCTCTAGTGATGGACTTTCACTGTCACCTCACTACCTCGGAGGTCGTAGGCTACCTGGCCGGCCACTGGGACGTCAATGCACATAGTGAGTTTATTGTAAGAGCAGACGTTGCCTAAGTAAGCTCTGTACTTCACACAACACTCACAATATCGCCTTAGTATTGCTACTGCTGCTTACCTATGTGTTCTGATCCTGTGATCTGTTTTGATGCGCTTTGATGTTACAGCGATTCTGCCTGTATCCGACCTCAGCTTCTGACCCTTATCAACTTTACAAAAAGTATGCAAGCTTTCATTTAATGTTTGAGATTGAACCCTGTTAGACATACAGTTAGTTAACAGATTAAATAAGCTTAATGGTTTAATTGAGGTTTAAAAATTGGTTGAAAATGAACCGATCGATAGTTAATTGTACAATGCATTAGTTTTATGATCGGAATAATCTGAGGTTTATTATATCTGCAATAAATACACAACCATAAGACTAGGAACTGGTTGAGAATCTCTGAAGTAGAAGCACTTGATGTGAATCTACTGTTAGTGTTTTGTTACAGATCTGGCCATCACACATGTGTTCCCGTGCAGGTCACGCCTCAGCGACAGAGAGATGGCTCCTCTGGTAGAACAAGAGATACAGAAGGCGATGGAGGCTCGGCGGCTGACTCTGGTGGGCTGGTACGTAACACAGCTGATGAATACAGTGTTTCTCTGTAACGTTTGAATTGGAATATGCAATCATTAATTAACAAGGGGAATTTCTCAATGTCTAAAAAAAAGTGGTTTGAACGTTTTTACCTGCAGCACTAAAAGGGAAAACAAACATTCTGTCAAATATTCAAACACAAATAAAGTGGAAACATCCAGTGTTAGATGTACAAACTAGAATGTTTGGTGCACCATATATATCAGACATATATAGAACATCCATCCATCAGGAGGTCATCCTGGATCAACAACTTCCCCTTGTACCTAATAGATTTAAAATGGAGAAACCAACAAAATGTTGTTCAGGCAATAAACCATTTCCAATTAAACTTAACCTTAATAGAGAGTTGACTAGACTTAATAATGACTGGATGTAGGCTATTAGTAACTATTCTGAATTTCCAAATTCTTAAAAAATGTGTTTAATCCACAGACATTTTCATCAAAAGCACACACATTTTCCTAGTTCCAGATCATTTGCATATCCAGGTTACTATTTCAGGTATATTAGCTTTGTTCTAAATTGGAATAAAGCAACCTTTTTCTCTAATAGGTGGTTCTGATTGGGACGTCTTTAGGGAGATTCTGGTTTACTTTGTTCTGTTGTCTTTTCATGATAGTATTTCCAAACAGAATGTGTTTCTATGAAGAGTTTAGTTGACGTGGTTGTTGGCAGGTATCACAGTCACCCCTCGTCTCCTGCTACCCCCACCCTGCGAGACATTGACACTCAGCTGGATTATGAGATCATCATGAGAGGGGGGAATGACGCCAGCTACACTCCCTGCGTGGGAGTCATATGTTGTGAGTCGAATACCATCGTTATCCATTAGGCCTACAGAAATAGTTCTTTGCTTTGAGTGAAAGTTTCATCGTGTTGCTTAATAATTCAGTAGAGTCTCGATTAAACTTGGCGCGGATAGGTTATATACCCTTAAAGATCGTCTCAGTAAACATGCTAAAAATCATAATATAATGAAGATATTTTGTTTTCAACCTATTCAAGGCTTTAAGTTGGTTTCTCTACTGGAATCATCATAGAAATTAATATAAAAAATGTAAGAAAAACTACGTAAATGAAAATATGAGAAAAAACAATACCATAGCATTCAGCCTAAGGTCTCCCCTTACACGGCAACTAAACTAAATTGCAGAGGCAAATGCAAATGAGAGTTCACAAACTGTAACACGTGCAACACAAAGAAAACAATCAGAAAGTACAGTCAAGTGCAGATGTTTTAAGCCTTAAAGTATCCATAAGTACTTGCACGGGTGGCAAAAGTGATAGTGCCGATGTAATAGCCCTTGGTGTAATGTCTTACCAACAACAAGCTCAAATAACTGGGACTCTACTGTAATGGTGTTTCTAATGTAATCTTAACCAAATGCTTAATCTAACATGTCAGTTGGTATAAACATTTATCATATATACACTTCATCTATTGAGTTCTCAGTTTTAAATCCTAACAGTCTGTGTCTGTCACAGCACCCTACAACAAGGACAGCCTCAGTCTGGAGTCTACTGTGGTCAGCTATTGGGTCGCTCCACCCCCTGAGAACAAACCTCACGAGTACGGCAAGCCGATGTTGATGAGTTACAGTGTGATTCAGGACCAGTATCTCACCCAGGACACTCTCAATGAGATGGTAACATACAACTACATCAATTTCCCTGCAAAAACACACTAATAATTCTTTACATTTTATTTTTTATACAATTTGTTAATTAAATGTACCAATCTAGTTTTTCGTGTTTTGTTCATGTACTCTGGTAAAACAAGTGTCGACAAAATTTTGTTTGTCCAAGAAAGCTTTTAAGTGGACTGTAAATTATAATAACAAAGAAAACAATGAATAGAACAGATGTAAAATAAAATATTTACAAATGTAAATTTAAATTTCAACATAGAAGAAATGAGTACTGATAGCAATGAGTATCAAACTATATTGAATTTGATATTTACTTAAGAACACTTCTTGAGCATACTCTATTCAAGTACATCAAGTATCAAGTATTCCTAAATACGTATAGACCATCAGTATGTTGGTGTTGACTTTAGTTCTTAAAATATTAAAAAACTAGCAGAGTACTCGTCCTTCGTACGGGGTTGGCAAATAAGTATAAAATGCTTATTGCAGTTATACCCGATCTTTGCGTTTGCGATGTGAGAAAACACGGTTTGAGAAAATTTGCTTCCTCAAAATTACGGTATGCGATAGTATTACACATCTACCATAGCCATAATGTTCTACTACTTCACCTACACAATAGAGAAAGACAGATTATTAAAAATTCACAAAATATCATAAATTATTCATGAAATTAAAAACATAAACATAACTGTAAACAATCCTACTTTGACAGTTCTCATTGTGTATCACAGTTTTTTGTTGCTGCTTAGTTCAAATTAGCTGTTTTCATAAATAATGAAAAAAATAATAGTGCTGCACCCTGTTGGTAAATCTTATAAATTTGTAATGCTTTTGCATATCATAGAACCAACTCTTTTAGTTGAAACAGCTGGCTAAATTCTTTAATTCCCTTTAAATATGAATACTCATAAGGTTAACATGGGGAACTGCAGAGCCACTGGGGCGGAGCCCAAAAGGATTATTGAGATAAGAATATGCCTATATGTTAATCGGAAATGTGAGCTATCATCATGCCAAATTTCAGCCCAATCCGACCAGTATTTTTTGTGTTTACTTGTCACAAACATACATACATCCATACATCTATACATCCAAACTTTCTCATTTATAATATTAGTAGGATACTAAACCTAAACATTTTTTCTAGAAAAAATGTGCGGATTACTACAAAGGCGATCCAGATGTTGTCAAATTTGGGGAAAAATACAAAGGAAACGTAACTTACCTGGACAAACTGAAGGTAAGTGTGTGTAACTCTTACAATTGAAATATTGTTTTCTTACTGCTACAATGGTTATCATAATCGGTAGGAATTTTTATATAAGAGAATGGCTGTTTCTTTTGACTGTGGAACGTATCCAGCAAAGCAAGGAGTGAGCCAATACAGTGAACTGATCAAAAGTAGTGACATCAACTCACCTGAACAATTAATTGAATTTTTTTATTAGCTTTTAATTTTGACGTATATTTTATTTTCTAGACGACACTGACGTCCAAGTTCCCACGAGACCAGAGTGATGGCAAGCTGTGGGCGTATCTGAGTGAGCTGGTCATGCCGGGCAGTACAGGAGAGACATCTCCCCCCTCTGTGCCCGCCTCTCCGTCCCCCACCCCCTCTCCTTCCACGTCCTCCGCTACCTCATCCGCCTCTGCTCTTGGTCTCAACATACCAAAAGCCGGAGCCAGCCTGTTTAGTGCGGAAATTGCCAACGCTCTGTTCAGTGCAGGTAAATGTAACATGTGAAAACATATTTAATAGATTTTGTTTATAAAGATAGGTTGGCCTTCAACTTTTTTAAAATCTACAATTCTTAAATTTACTTCTGAAATCCATCCCGGTTAAAAATATTGTCAGCAAAGTGAAATATTAATGATGTGTTAGCTCTAGTTAACACGTTCCCTACCAACCGTCACACTTCTCTGTAACTGAGGGATGAGTATACTTGGTAGCTAATGTGTTAACACGTTTCCTACCGACCGTCACACTTCTCTATAACTGAGGGATGAGTATAGTTGGTAGCTAATGTGTTAAAGCCGGGTTTACACGATGCCAGTTGGCGAGACAATTGTCAGGAGACAACTGACTGGCTTGGAATTACTGGCTTTGTGTAAACACTTCAGGCCAATTGGCTCGCCAACTGTCCCGAAATTCAGTTGTCTCCGGGAGTAGACTGAGGACAATGAGCTGGGCCCAGTGAGGCCCCCACCCCTCGAAAACCCAGTTGTCGTGACAATTGGCGCCGTATAAACGGTGTAGAGGCCAATAGCACTGTCTTGTCTTTTAGCAGTAGTACCCTGGTTCACTGTATAATACCTGGGCAAGTGTTGGCCACGTGTGAACAGGTTCTCGTTCAACTTGCCTGGCCTACGACAATTCTAAAACCACGTGATGCCAATTGGCAAAGACAATTGTCTCGCCAACTGGCATCGTGTAAACCCGGCTTAGTAGTTGTTTTCTGTGCCATAGACTCAGGTCCGGCTTGAGGTGCATAATACTCATTTAACTTACCTTACACCCCTGATAAATGGTGTGTTCACACCAAAATTGCCAAAAATCAACTTTCACAATCTCTTAAAATTACAGCAATAATCAAGAGCATTCTTGAGATTATAGCGTCGCAAAAATCCCCAAATTATTGTTTTAATGCTTAAAAAAATGAAATATGTAGAAAATGTCATAGTTTTTGGTTTATTTATTATTATCACCTTTAACTAACGCACAGGCTGTGGTAGCACGGATAAATGACAGTTGTAACTAAATATGAGATTTGAGATCCAATTCTCAAATTCGGTTGTGGAATCTCACAATTTCAAATCTTTCACAGGATTTAGTGGATTCGAGGTTCAGCTCTGACACTTCACTAACAAAAACACATAAACATTTGCTTTTTGGTTTACACTAAGTTTTTGTTGTGTTCCAGGCAAGTTCCCCACGCCAGCTTCTTTGATGGGCCTCTCCGCTCTGTTCCCCACACCACTACCCCCTAGTCTGCTCAAGTATCCCTCCCCCAGCAAACTACTCGACAAGAACTACACTCTGACCAGTGGCCACTCCTGAGACTGGCTCAACCTGTTCAGCCCGTGAATAGCCTCATCGTCTGCTGAAGGTTAACACTTACACCAGGAAACTAAAGATCTGGGACTTAAGACTATATAGTTATCTTAGAGGTCGTTGTGGACATTTTCCATAGATTAAAAAACAAAGTTTTCATGACAAAAATGAATAACTTACTTGCACACTACCTTCTTACTACTGTCATGTACCTATGTATTAGTTGTTTTACTGTCATACTTTTTTTTTAAATGCTTTTGTTTTCATTTTATTTTTAAATGTAATTAATTTCTCACTGGAGGCCGGGATCAGATTCCAGATCCCAAACACTTTGTTTTCACTTATAGTGATGGAAAATGTCCGCAATAGTCTCTTAAACATTGTAAACTAACCATTACCAAATTTAAATTAACTTAATTCAAAGAAGACCATTGTGTTGAATTTTGCACAATTTTATTTTGGAATCTATTGAAACTTTTTTTGTAAAAACTTTTGAAGAGGTCAGCTTAATTTAGGCTATAACTAGAAGTACAATGCAGTTGTCTGCTTGCAAAATTGAGCAGAGCAAGCATAGGGAAATGTAACTATGAATTGATTGTTCCCAATGGGCTAGAGTTTACATGAAGGGAATGTCTACTTGCAGTATCTAAAGTCAATGCTACATCTGGTTCACCTTAATGGGATATTTACTTGCAGTATCCAAAGTCAATGCTGTACCTGGTTCACAAATGTGATGTGATCAACCGATAGGGCCTATGTTAAATTTCTAAAAGTTTAAATTCACGTAGGGGAAAGCCGAGTAGTCTGATTTGTACCGCTTCAGATTTATATCTTCCCATGGTTGGTTACTATGACAGTGCTAAATTTAATGCTGATCGCTTCAGCTGTTCAGGAGGAGTATGTGGAAAACAAAAGCAGGAGTGTACAGTAGTATAAGAGCTTCACTCAAACTGTTTATAGTACTTTGAATGTCAACTGTACCAATTAAACAAACTTGGAACTTTTGTTAATGGTCTTGTCAATTGAAAGTAATTACGTATTTTAATTTTGATACTAAAACGATTAACGAAATTATTGACTTTTGTATACTGAAGTCTTCTTTCAAGATTAAATGGTAAAGGCCAGTTACGGGTTATAGAGCTTATAATAAGAACATCACTAATACTTAATTATTTAGTTAAATTTCATCTTATTATGAATCATGAATAATTGTTGTAGTAGGTGTTAGATTTCAATTTCATGCTGGTTGTGAAGATATGGCTTCTAAAAGGAGTGAAACACATTTCACAAACTAACGATTGTTTCTCTTCTCTTGCAGGTATTTTATCAAAGAAGTTATGTAAAGCAATGATTTAGGTAATTATATATTTTTTCTCACAAATTCTTATAACGATTCAAACGCACAAAATTGGTGTTGCAAGTCATCATTTTTTACGTACTGTGAATTAAAAAAAAAACTAATACTTGGACTGGTGTACTAGACTTTATTGTGCTGGTTTAATAACTTACTGGTGGATCAAAGAGTTCAGATCAACAAATATACTACTGGAACACACCCTGTCCATAACCCTGTATTGTGCTTTACAAGTAAATTTCAGTTATAAGGAATGTTATTGTCTCTGTGGAGTAATTGGTTGGCAAGTGAATGGAAAAGGTTGAAATTTAACTGTCTTAGTCGTGTACTCAATACCGATATCTCTGACCGTAGAAAACACACAACAAGCTGATTTTAAATCTAACGGTAGATAATTTAAAAAAGTGAGGATTTATTTGAGGTCGGGGAATATTTGCTCAAGCTACCTGATACGAATTTAACTACGTAAACATTATTATCAATTGTTTTTAAAGGGGCGCTTGTAACAATGACATTAAACGTAGGCATAAAATAAAAAATGTTATAATGATGATAGATGCATGTTTATAGTAATTTAACAACCAGTAACAACAAGTAATTTAGAATAGTTAAGAAAAACACCATTGTATCAACTGATTTACAACATTTTTTTTCTTTTTGTAAAATGTAATAAGTTAATATGAGAATCATACAGGTTTTTTAGATTGTCTAAGAAGACACTACGGTATATTGCCTGCCAGTACCTGTAGCGTGTTCTTACCCAACTTCAGACAACGTCAGATTTAGGCACAAATCTGTGACCCAATACACATTTCAGCAGTATTTCACTTCACTTGTTTCAGTAGTATTGCTCGTTGGTTAAGATACTGTAACATTATGAAACGCATGACGTCCTTATACATAATATGTGAAGGCGATTTCTACGAAACACTACTCCTCTGTTAATAATGGACATATTTTTACAAACGATGTGTCAAAATTAAGTATTTTTTGTGAAGATGCCCCCTTTCACTAATTCATGTAATAAGAGTCCGAGGGCTTTGCCCCACAGGCCATCAAAACACCAATGTATTTCTTATGAAGAAAAGATTTTGTTTACCTATACAGACAAATAATTTGTATTAATTACAGCTGTTCATAGTAAACACATGATACACTGACGAGAGTTCTTTTTCAGTGTGAGTTTGTTTTCAGTTTCGATAACTGGAGTAAAGTGATTGATTACATTCGAGTTTACCGTAATCGGAAAATACGACTGTTATTCGTTTTGAAACAACACCTGTAATACTTTGCAATTGCTCGAATTCGAGCAACAGGTGCACTAGTTTTCTTTAATTGTCTGTTGAATGCCAATTTTTTTGCATTACCAGAGGAAATGTTGTTTGGAAAAAAATAAAATTTGTAGATATTTTCTTTTGCAAAAGAAATGTTTCGCATTGAGAATTACTTGAAGTTTGTTAAGTTTTCTGTCATTTTTTTATTTGCAAATCAATCAAAATCTTAGCGTGACTTAATTCTGTGACATATTTCTATTTGAAAAACACTAACTTTTTGTCCTTTAAGAATCACCACTGATTTATTAACATGCTAGGCCTATTACTTTTGATCAGTGTTGCTTAACTTACTAAGACTGTTATTATTACTCATGCGTGTGTTTTAATTTTAATTTTAGGATTTGAGATTGTGATATATCTTTTAAGTACCGTAAATAATGTACAAAGTATTAATGATTAATGAGCAAACTCACAAAATAGACTAGGCCTATTACTTTTGATCAGTGTTGCTTAACTTACTAAGACTGTTATTATTACTCATGCGTGTGTTTTAATTTTAATTTTAGGATTTGAGATTGTGATATATCTTTTAAGTACCGTAAATAATGTACAAAGTATTAATGATTAATGAGCAAACTCACAAAATAGATTGTAGTAAATGTTAGTTTCAACATTTCTGGTACTTTCAATGTTAGTTGATACAAATGTAATCCTTAACTGTGATCGGTTAAATATAATTGTCTTTTGTTTGTTCCTTATGTAAATGGAACATTTATATCCCCACCATCCTTTCTATAGGCGTTTTTGGCTGCTCTAAATGTTAGCGAAATTGTTAGGATAAAATAGTTAATGGTTTTAACATTATTTATACTAAACAATCAGTATTATTTAAAATGTTTTAAAATCATTTTTAACATTCTATCTCAAACAAACATTTTATTTTGTCTAGTTTAAAAATTGTGTTTTGTGTGAGTATATGTATAAACAAAGAATACTTTTTGAAGTTTTTTTGCTGAAGAATATTCTTGTTACTTAGTTTTATACTTTTTTAAGTTCAGTAATGTTAACAACTTTGTATAAAAGTAAATAAATAAGTTTTATAAGTAATTATTTGTATATTATACCTTTGATTCAACAATTAACAGCGGTTTGTAACTACAAGCAAACATAATTATTATAAAAAAATAACACTGGAGAATCTACTAAATAATGATGAATATATTAGTGAAAATGGTGCCTATTAAACGTTTAGGGTCTGAAATAAAAGAAAATTTTCTCTCAAACTGTAAAGAAGAAAGAAAGTTTTGAGAAGTGAATCCTCTAGCCCCGGATTGTTTTTTTTAGTTACTTCAGGATTGGTCTAGAGGTTGTGGCGTTATCTCTTTGATAAAATCCACTGGTGATTGGCGGGATTTGAACCCGGGACCTCAGGGACTGCATGGCATTGACACATGTGTTACATGCTGACAAATTCAGACCTCTGTCTACCATGAGACCAAGAACCTTAGATTTGTTCAACAAGCCTAACTCAGAACATCTATCCTATTATTTACCCATCTCAGAGCAAATATGGTGGAGCCAGGGTTGCCACCTGTCCCGATTTTGGTTCCTTATGCCCGTATTTAGGCCTATGTTAATCCAGTGGGGAGGGGGGCCATGTACAAATTTTTCTCTAACCTAAGCTGGCAACCCTGGGTAGAGCTGTGTTCATCCCCAACTATCAGGAAGTCTTTTCACGCAGAAAAGAATCAGGAGGAATTCCATTTACCATAAGGAAATTCAGCGTCCCTAGGTTGTCCATTATACATTGTGCTTTTTGAGACTTGAAATGTCTTTCTCCCTGAGGAAGCTAGAATGAGTGTGTGAGGAGTTGTGAAATAGACAATGGATAATTCTCTTTACACACTGAGATTCCTTTGAGAATTACAGTAAATCACGATATCTATTGTTGCTATATGCCTTAAAAAGTGTCTCTTTGCTATTGTACGATACTAAAAGCCAAGAAAAAGAGGATTGGAATTAGAGTGATGATAGAGTGAATGATGAGTGATAAATGGCTAAATACGGTCATGGACCTATTTAATTTAGTTTACAAAGATCTCACTAAAGTCAGTGATATTAAGTCTCATTTATCCGCAGAGTAAACCAGAGGCGAAGAAGTGCTTTTTTTTGCTTTGGCTCTCTACGAGGATCCTGCAAAGTGATTTTAAATATTTGTCCTGGTTCTCAGACGCAGCTTTTAGTTGGTGGTTGGTTATTTCGTAGTCTCTTTGAAGAGTTGTGGGTTGGAAGATTATTCAAACATTCTTTACTATAATATCGTTTTGAGTTAAGGATTAGTCAGTTAAACTATACAATATTTTTACCAGTCTAGACTTACACCCTGCAGTGTAGTACGGTAATGAAAAGTTGAATGACCATGCATTTTATCGCTTTTTGTTTTTGTTCATTTGTATGTGCTACGTGATTTTTAAGATTTATGCCGACATCTTAAGAGTGATAGATTTTGCGTTCAGCTTGACAATGATGCCATAGATGTCGTAACCAGTTGTCATACAGACGATTTCAGGATTACTTGGACGAAATGAGGTCATTTAACCTCTTGTTTATTAAAGAAAAAATATAAATAGTTGGGATGGTTAAAAATATAGTATGTTCAAGAATGAGTCTAGATACTTGAAGAAACACAAATAAAAAGTACTGGATATGCTATCAAATTACATGTCCAAAAAAAATCTCCTTTGGCAATCAATTTAAGGGTATGTATACTAAACAAGGGAAGAATAGTTTAACGAAAAGAGGCTCATCTCTGCAAGTGATGTGTATTGCTACACCGATGGGCCCAAGGTATGGTCGCCATTTCAATTAAAAGTATTTAAAAAAGGGATTTTAAGTATTAAGACTAGAAGGACAGGTGCGGATATGCTTTAGGAACAGGAAAGAACTGATATCAGCCTTTCTATGGCAGTGTACCCCACAGTTTTCCTCGTGGAGGTCACCACCATTTTTGTTTGCGCTTGTGTAAATCTCATTAAGGAGATCAGGGGTAAAATGATTCTCTATCTACCGGTACTCTGACAGTCAGGAAAATTTGAAAACTCGAAATTTCTAAGAATTTAACTCCAAGCTTGTGTTGTATTGTCTTGCCTCTGTGTCAGAGTTGGGAAGGAGAAATTACGATCTTACTCTTCCTCGGTTGTCTGGTCACTCTGGCTTAAAAGGTAAGAGGTTGCTGACAGACTGGCAAACAATGCTTAGGGGGCAACTTTGCTTTATCTCCATCCTTTCTGTGGCATGTCATGTAAGTATGCGTGCACCTCCATCACGTCTTGGGCCACTGAAAAACATCGTAGGAGATGGACAGAAGAACCCCTCTCAAGAGTGTGTTGTAAGTCTAGTGGCAAGCAAAAATAAAAAGAGGGGGTAAGCTCACCCTTAGAAACGGGTTTCCTCAGACAGGCAAATAATATAAACAATAGGACTAATTACTGGTCATGTCACCACCAAAACGTCCAAAACTTGAGCTATTCCTAGATTCAGTAGGAATTATATTTTTCATCCCATATTCAAGAATCTTAATTATATAGGCTATTAGATTTACCTTTGTTGTTGTTGTAGCCTGAGTTGTAGGAAGAATACCCCTGAAGATGCCACACAAGGACAAGGTAGCAAAATGCATTCAGTTCAATTCAATTCAAGTGTATCATCATC